TGTGTGTAGAATTTGCGTACATGTATTTAACTAAGTAAATGCTATGCAACTAGATATGGAGCATAAGATACAAGAGCTTACATATGTCAGAAAAGCGCAGCACACACATTTCGATACAACACGTACCTACAACACGACAGCTCGCATGAACCCTTGAATGCAAGTGCTAACCATAAACGCACGGGCTTATACACGCACACACAACAAGATATACTACAGAAGGCAAGGGTCTATACGCATACACACACAAGAGAACTTACAGAAGGCAAAGAGTATGAGACAGATCATAAACACTGAGTTCTCGAAGATGGACGTCATGAAGGGTCGGCCCTTGTAGTTGGTCATGAACACAGACACCTGCGATGGCGAAGAGGGGCAGAGGATGTGAACATAAGAGATAGAAGGCAAAGTTATATTGACATTAGGCTATGAAGAAACATACCCGCCCCCCTTTGACTATAAAACGGCACAAGGAACATGACAGTTGACAGTTGACAGATGGCAGATGACAGGTGACAGGTGACAGGTGTGGCAACAAGATTGAGGTGGCTGTCTATGTGCGCGTGTGATAGCAGACGCAGAAAATGGCGATAAACCTTGCGTGGACTTAAAGGTCCATACAGAATCAAAACTGAATACTCAAATGAAACAACGGCAAATAAAATACAATTCCGAAGCACATAAGCAGCTGACAACTGACAACTGACACTTGACAGTAAGTGTACGTGTAAGAAAGTGCAAGTGTAAGTATAAGTGTATGTGTCGCTCGGCTTGTACGAAAGGCCCGCGAGTTGTGCTTCATGCCACGGCATATGAATCAATGGGTCTGAGACAACGCACGCACTCCAGAAACAAGCACGGCTTTCAATGACCAAACGCTACAAAAGTGCTTCCACGGCAATGAAGGCCTTTCTAACTCGGGGTTCTACTTAGTTTTCTATTGCGAGTACATTCATATAAAGATATATGGTGTCATCACATAGACGCGTGCGGAGACGAAGACGAAGACGAAAACGAAGACGACGAAGCAGATGAAGATTCGGATGAAGATGAAAATGAAGTTGAATATGCCACCAAATTCAATGATTTAAACATAAAAGGGCTATGTGGTGATGAGTAAACGTAAAAGGGTTATGTGGTGATGAGTAAACGTAAAAGGGTTAGTAGTGATGAGTAAACGTAAAAGGGTTATGTGGTGATGCGCGGGCCACTTACATTCATGGTACACGATGTCAGGAACACCACTGTGTTGATGACATTGGGGGCGAACTTGCCCTTGACATCGGGTTTGAAGTCGTCGGGCAGAGTGGACTTGGCCAGCTCCACGTTGTACATCATGGTACACAGATGGATCACAAACTGACCTGCAAGTGCCGACATCAGCGGTTTAGGGTTTAGGGTTTAGGGTTAGTGAATTAAGCCCTGTAGAGAAAGGTAAAGGTACTTGGTCACTATGTGTAGGACATAAGGAGAAAGATGTACGACATGCTGACAAGCGGCACGAACAGAGCCAAATGAAAGGGGTTTGGATTTGTTTGGGGTTTAGGGGATCAAACCAGTGGAGAAAGGTACTTGAACACACTATGGGACATCAGGGACAAAGCATCAGACTCCGATAAGCGACAAGAATAGGGCCGGATAAAAAAGATGAGTTTAGAGTTTAGGGTGTAGGGTGTAGAGTGTAGGGGTTCAACCCCGAAGAGAAAGGTACCTGGACACACTATGGGACATCAGGGACAAAGCATCAGACATACCGATAAGCGACAGGAACAGGGCCGGGTGGAAGATGCTCTCCGGGGGGTGTACGGGGCTGAGCTTGGGCAGTGGAGTGCCGCGACTAATGCAAAGATAGCAGATGGTGCTCAGAATACCCATGAGCGTCATCTGCCGATCACCGTACTTGACGCCGTCCAGATACAGCGCCGACAGCGAGTACGACGATATCAGACAGTTCAGGGCCAGGATCTGGTACATCTGTGGGAGTGTGGGGGGGGGTGTATTAGAGGAGTGAAAGTTGTATATCGGCAAGGGCTACTAAAAATGTGAATTGGACAGAAAGAATCAGGTACATATGAGGGTGTGGGTGTGTGGGTGGGGGTGTATTAGAGGGGTGAAAGTTGTATATCAGCAAGGGCTACTAAAATATATGAATAGGACAGAAAGAATCAGGTACATCTGAGGGTGTGGGTGTAGGTGTGTGGGGGGGTACTAGAGGGGTTCAAGTTATATATCATCAAGGGCTGCTAATATGTGATTGGAAGATAATCTGGCACATGTGTGGACGCGGGTGTGTGGGCGAAGTGGGAGAGGGTTTGTAACTAAACATTAGCGAGGTATACGAAGATGATTAGAGCAGGATGGCTTCTAAATAACCCCTTGAGAGTGTCATTTGGCGTCATTGTCCATAGATAGATAGATACATGGATATATAGATACATAGATACATGGATACATAGATAGATAGATACAAACATGCACACATACAAACATATATATATATATACATATATATATAAATATATATATATATATAGACGTAGACATATAAATTCAAACATACACACACACACACTTCCACACCGGTGTCCCCATCTACCTACCTGAATGGTAGACAGCAGCGTACATCGGCCCTGTCTGATGATGTCAATCGTAGACTGGATAGAAGGCATCTTGCTAGTGAACGGTGCCGCAATAGACGCATCGCCCAGTTTGACCATCTCCGCCTCACCCATGTCCTGGTCTTCCAACATGTCCCAGGGACTCTTAGGGTCCCCTTTCTTCTTGACCTTGCCTGTGTCTTTGCCGTCGCTGTACGGTGTGTGATACAGAGCGTGTGAGTCCCAGAGAGAGTGGTTGGGCACCCACACAACGGTCCTAAAAATGAGTGCGGGTGCAGGTGCAGTCTTGTCATAGGACATGGTGGATAGAATCCCCACTCTATACAAACACACCGTGGTGTCTCGGGCGTTTGCAGAGTCTCTCACATGAATAACATTGGTTTGTTCGGATGGAACATGAATCTATAAGTTTGGGTCGTACGGTGGGTTTGGGTGAGCTGAAGGGTCTAGGGTTTAGGGTTTGGTTGGGTTCTTTGTAAGGTCTCTCTGGTACGCTGTTGGGTGTTCGCATGGAGAGAAACGAATTTGCATACAACGACATATGCAATATTGTACATAAGACACATAAATATACATAAGACACATAAATATACATAAGACACATATGAATACTATAATCGTACCTAAGACACATATACATACTACAATTGTACATAAAAAACATATAAATACAATAATTGTACACATACACAAGACACTTATTGTTGCTCTATTGGTAAGTGAATGTTTAGGGATACTATACTAGAACATAAGACACTTAAGGTTACTGTGTTTGTACATGAGGCACCATAATGAAGCACTAATTTTTTAGGACACTATACTTGAACAGAAGACTCTTATGGTTTCTGTGTTGGTGCATGACGCCATATAGGTACCACATTCGTACACACATCCATAACATACTACATTTACACCCAAGACACACATCCGTAACATACTACATTTATACCCAAGACACGAGTCGACATATTCGCAGCCCCAGCCCACAGGTACACAACTCCGCACCGCAACACACCCTGGTTTGTTGGCGGCAACGGCAGACCCCGTGGCCCCAGCCACTGCACCCGATGAGTTGTCAGAGGACCCACTCGGACCTTTCGCCTTGGCTTTGGCCTGTTCTTGCTTCTCCTTCATCAACTGCTCCTGCTGTTCCTGAGCCATCTCAATACGCACCTGCGAAGACAGAGAAATAAGTGGAATGAACCCCTTAAACCCAGCAACCGCAGAAGGGGTCAGAGTAGCGCCCATCCATGCCACAAGGACACTCGGTCGGTGTGGGGTGTGGGGCGTGGCTATGCACAGATGTAAGGGCGGTCTCTGTTGCTGTGTAGTAGGATACCTTACGCCTACCTCTGCTCTGCAGAAATTGTACCGTTCCTACCTTGACGGGTGCGAACCATACGCCTTGTTGTTGGTTGCATTTGGGCCACATGCGTAAGCATCGATCACGTACTGGCGTACTTGCCTTCCCACGTACTCTCTAGAAACTACACCACTTATATAGAAACAATACCATACATACCACATAAACAATTTCATACTTACAGAAGCAATACCATACCTACAGAAACAATATCATACCTACAGACACAAAATTGTACCTACAGAAGCAATATCATACCTACAGAAACAACGCATACTACAAAAACAATATCATACCTACAGAAACAATATCGTACCTACAGATACAATATCATACCTACAGACACAATATTATACCTACCTTGACCTCTGCGAACCATTCGCCCTGTTGTTTCTTCTGGGTCACTCGGTGTTTGATCTCGTCCTGTTGCCCGAGCATCTTGGCGCGGGCTTTCCTGACCGTCTCACTGACCATGGGATCTTTGGCCCACGCCTCTTGCTGAGGAGTCAGTCCAGCTACACTATTAGAGCCTGTAGGACAGGCGGAGAGGGAGGTGTAGGTAAAAGTGACTTGAGTTTATGTACACTATTAGAGCCTATAGGTCAGGGGAAGAGGAAGGTGTAGGTATAAGTGACTAGAGTGTATGTACACTATTAGAGCCTATACGACAGGGGGTGAGGAAGGTGCATGTATAAGTGACTTGAGTGTATGTACACTATTAGAGACTATACGACAGGGGGAGAGGAAGTTGTATGTATAAGTGACTTGAGTGCATGTACACTATTAGATCAGGGGGAGAGGAAGGTGTAGGTATAAGTGACTTGAGTGTAAGTACACTATTAGAGCCTATAGGACAGGGGGAAAGAAACGTGTAGGTATAAGTGACTTGAGTGTATTTATAGCTGTCGTATAGATAGATATATATACATGTGTAGGAGCATTGTTAATCGGATCTTGCGTTATTTTTCAATTTAGTCTCGCGACAAAAGATCTTTGGCCCAGGTCTCATGCTGAGGGGTCAGCCCACCACTACGCGCAGGGCATGCCACAAAGAATATATAAATTTCCCTTAAGTCCGATACAAATATATATATTCGTTT